GAGTCGAAGGAGCATGTAAAGCTCAGAAGAGATGTGTGTTTAGCAAAAGAATCCATGCTAAATCCCAAATCAATAGGAACTTTTATTTTACTTCATGTCAAGCAAACAAAAAAAGCAATAAAATTAAAATGTTATTTGACATTCATGAGACACGTTTACATCAATTATGCTGATTGACAGAAAACATAAATCATTGAGGACTTGCCAACAATAAATAATACACTTAAAAATAGAAAGTTCTATGTGCAATAGACAATTTCCTGAGGCTTTCCAGTTTGGGGAAGTCAATGGACCTTTGCAAACCTGAGTTTCTCAAAAGGATACTCAAGTGGTGCAAATTTCCTGTCATGACAAGGAGCGGCCACAGCTGGGAGCATCTTATCTTGAAAGGGGGGAAATAATAGTTCTTTTTGTGCAGGCGGAGGTTGAGATGGTTCTCACGGTGTACACAGGCTGATCTCAAACTCACAATCTTCCTGTCCCAGCCTCTAGCATGCTGTGATCACAGGCAGGCACCTCCATGCCCGGCTTTCAATTTTATTTTAATCAATGTGACAAAGTCCTGGGAGAGCGACTGTGCAGAGGCGAGGAACACGTTTGCTCTTCGCGGTGACACAGACACGTACAACACGCCCAATAAGACACAGAGCTAACGCACGTTGTCATAACCAGTGTGCTGCTTTCCCAGGTGTGAATACCACATAAACAGTGCATGACCTCCCTGCCGTGTGGGGCTGGCAAAAGAAAGAGACAAAAAGAATGCCTCTTTAAATGTTCCAGAGCACAGCAAGGGATGCGTAGGGGAGCATGCATGTCAATCACAGGCACATGTGTGCTACAGCACATGTATGGAGGCTAAAGTGCATGCATGTCAATCACAGCTATGTATGTGCCACAACACATGTGGGGAAGCTATGTATGTGCCACAACACAGGTGTGGAAGCCAGAGGCCAACAATGGAGTGAGATGTCACCTTCCACCTTTGTGTGAGTTCCTCAGGCTTGCACAAGCACCGTGACTCCCTGGTTCAACTTGCCCACACTCCTGTAGCTTGAACACAAGCATGGCAGCCTCACCCCGGGCTAGACAAATTGTACCATAAAACAAACTCACACCCTAGGTCTGACTCTGTCTCAATGGCTGTCAGAATTGTAAGGAACCTGACCTCACCCTGCTGGTTTCCCCATCTGTAAAATGAGGACGTCTAAGGCTTCCAGCCAAAAACAAAGGTGATTTTAAATAGTGCACCACTGAGAGATGGTTTTGCTGTTTCCATGCCCCTACTTCCCACAGCCCAAAGAGCATCTTTCTGCCGCTCACACCATCTTCCGCAGCTCACGCCATCTTCTGCAGACCTGCCTGCTCAAGCCAACACTCAGAATCCAGAGTGACCTTGCTTCCCAGGTAGAAAGCAACACTCATGACCTTAGCAACTAAACAAGAAATAATAGTTCTTCTTTCTGGGGCAGTATGTAAACTTTCTGAGTAGGAAAAAAAAAAAGAACTCTGCAGACCTCTACTTGGCTAGGTTGAGTCAATGTCTACTACAAATTTAAAACATCAAAAAATTTTCAACAAGAGTTCACATCCAAGTCTTCATGATTGACACAATCTGGTTACGACTGTGCTGCTCTCGGGGCCTCTTTCACGCCGTGGAAGCAGTGACTAGAGAAAGCTTTCTTTTCTGAAAGAAAACAGCAAAGGCATCTCACTTGAATGACCTATCCATGCCAACTCAGGAGGGTGTTTGGTCAAGGAAACAAATGGCAAGGAGAGAGCCGCATTCGCCACGGAAACTCTTCATGATACTAACATGGGCACTGATATTTTTGACACACATACTTTTAATTCAAAAAAGTATAATCTGTCATTATTAAGCATGTTGGAATAAAAAACAGGAATAGCAGCTAAAGTCAACAACTATTTGCCGCGAATTTGATCGGTATGATAAGTAACCAGGCTAGCTCAAGAGTAACAGGAATACTTTAATGGTTAAAGAGGGGAAACTTACACTATAAGAATGGGAGTTCCGAAATCCGATAGGTCCGGCGGCACCGCAAAGAGAGAATGTGCACCTGCATCTCCCGGTTTTTCTACCTGGTTCCAAGTGGCCACACCCTAACTAGATGCGATTGGTTAATAGTTTCCCCATCATCTACTGAACAAATTACTAATGCCTGAGGTCTCCTATATTTCAACCCCTACAGTACAGTCAAATACATAAATAGTGCAATGCATTGCTTAAGCGAATTAATTAAGCCAAGTTTCTTGCCTTAAAAGTCTCTGAAATTTTGCATTCCCACCAACAATGGATGAGTGTTCCCCTCACACCACATCCTCTCCAGCATAGGCTATCATTGGTGGTTTTGAGTTTAGCTATTCTGACAGGTGTAAGATGGTATCTCAAAGTGGTTTTGATTTGCATTTCCCTGATCGCTAAGGAGGTTGAGCATGTCCTTAAGTGTCTTCTGGCCATTCGAAGTTCATCTGTTGTGAATTCTCTGGAGCACTGGAAGTCAGGACCGCGAAGGGTGCATTCACCCACTGATACAAGGGGACTGATCGAATGAGAGCTCACCAAGGCCAGCTGGACCGGGACTGAATGAGCATGTGATCAAACCGGATTCTCTGAATGTGGCTGACATGGGGGCTGACTGAGAAGCCATTGACAATGGCACTGGGTCTTTTTTCGTCTGCATGGACTGGTTTTTTGGGATCCTGTCCTGTTTGGATGCTCACCTTCCTGGACCTGGAGGGAGGGGGGAGGAACTTGGATTTCCCACAGGACAGGAAACCCTGACTGCTCTTGGGAATGGTGAGGGAGGAGGAGAGGGAGTGGGGGGAGCGGGAGGGTATTGGGAGGAGGGGAGGAAGTGGAAAGAGTGTTTTCGGATACTTGAATAAACAAGTCTAACGAAAAAAAAAGTCTCTGAAATTGAGGCTGGAGAGATGACTCTGTGGGTAAGAGCACTTGTTGCTCTTCCAGAAGACCTAAATTCAGTTCTCCGCCCCTATCAACCTCAAGTAACTCTAATTCAGGAGATCCAACACCCTCTCCTGGACTCTGCAGGCACTACACACATGGAAAGATGGAACTGGGATGGTGGAAAGCAAGGTTTTTAAATTCTCTGAAATTGAGCTCCAATTCATTGAGTTGGTGCGGAAATTAAAACGATACAGTTTGAGAAACTCTACTCATGAAATGCGTAGGCATTAACATCTTGCCTCGGCACATCACATTCCTGGACTCTGGGGAGCTAGAGGTTTATATCAAATGCCAGTCCTAAGCCCGTAGCATATGTGTGTTATCAAGATGAGAGTAGGAAACAAAGAGGTAAAATATTATTTTATATAAATATATAGTATATAAGTGTAATATTGCATTCTAAGTATTTATTTAATAAGTTCTTGGGACTGCCAGTGCTTTGCCCCACGGCCACCATTCGCATCATGGTCCAGAAAGCAGCTCTGCCTGATGAGACATTCGCTCAGTGTCCCTGCTTTGTCTCTATCGGGGCTCAGAGAAAGAGGCAGCCTTATGAAGAAGGGAGCTTAACAGGCCGAAAAGGCTACAATTTATATTATGTGTATACCTAGTAAGTGAGTAAGGTTTTTTATTTTTTATTTATTTTATTTTATTTTTATTTATTTTTGGTTTTTCAAGACAGGGTTTCTCTGTAGCTTTGAAGCCTGTCCTGGAAACTAGCTCTTTTAGACCAGGCTGGCCTCGAACCCCAGAAACCCACCCGCCTCTGCCTCCCCATTGCTGGGATTAAAGTGCACCACCACTGCCCAGCTGAGAATAAAAAAAAATTTATGTCTTCAGTTGCCATCTCTTTATAGCAAACTTACTCACTCACACCTTAAACATATTTATGAAGCAATTTAAGGTGTTCTATTTAATATAAATTGATACAAGCTAATTATTTCTATTTAATTAAGACAACCTGGCTCCTGTCCTGTGTAGCTAATTAGGGCTAAGTCAGCAAGTAGGCAGTTTTGGAGTCTAAAGCAAGGCTGGATATACTGATCTCGGTGCTTTATGGTGGGTGGGGCACGAGATTAACAAACCACCAGAGAGTGCTGCCGAACCCTGTGCTGCTTCCTGACAGTAAACCTCATCCATACCAAGGAGGGCAGAAGTTACACTTCTCTAGGTCTTGCTATGGCTTTCCGCATCCATCCACTCTCCTGCCATTCCCAGAAGCACATGAGATCAGAAAAACGCAAATGACTCAACTCTTCGAAATAGTTTTCAATAAAGAAGTAAGACTGTCTCGTCAAAGACAAATGGGAAACTAAGACAGACTGCAAATGGAAATGGCTACTGGGAAGTAGATCCCTCCTTCTTTGCTGCTGAAATCTCACACAGTCACGTTGCAGGCTCAGCCTGCCCAGGCACGGAGTACCCTATACAAGGAGTTTCCTTTAGTATTGCTTTTGGCTCCTGAGGCACTTCTCACACTGTGAAAATGTGCCAACTGTCTGAGGGCCCAGAGAACCAGCGACTGTGTGGTCACCTCTGTAGCTCTGGTTGGCAAGCAGTGCCGAGTTCTCCTCCAAGAATCCTTGTGAGGTGCTGGTTCAACTAATGACAACCTGTGACCAGGCACAGGGTGACTCCCATGAGCCTCCTGTGTTTGGTGAGCGTGACAATACTGGTGTGGTTTTCGCTGACCTCTCCCCTTTCAGGGAGTAAGAAATACATTAGACTGAGAACCGTGTGTGTTTTGCTTCTGGAGTGCTGGCATGTAGGTGTGTAAAAGCTACAAAAAGGGCTAAGCAAATTCAGAGAGCCACGGAGTAATAAAAATCGAAGGGGAAATGGCGTCATCCCGGCAGCTTTCCAATCGGCTTTCAGCTGTAGCGCTACAGGCAAAACCGGAAGGGAGGAATGCCACACCCACCAGGATGCTCGCCACTTGGTGATGTTCTAAAGAAGATCCCATGGCTTCAGAAACACAAACCGACAGGATTAAAGGAAGATTGAAGATTCTTACCGCCACGGGTGCTACTGATAGAGCAAAGTGTAGTCCTCCACCAAGGAGTAATCTGGGTCGTCTGCAAAGAGAAGAACGCAGGACAGAATTAAGCTAATCACTGGGCTTGATAAAGCCGGTGTTTCTCAAGCTGTGGGTCATAACCCCTTTAGGGGTCAAACAATCCTTTCACAGGCGTCCCATATCAGCCAGATGCCCTGCATATCAGATATTTACATTATGATTCATGACAATAGCAAAATTACAGCTGTGAGTAGCAAGGAAAATAGTTTTATGGTTGGGGTCAGCACGACATAAGGAGCTGTGTTCAAGAGTCATGGCCTTAGGAAGGCTGAGAACCAATGACTTAGTCCTTTGCAGACTGAAGCAGTCCACTTCAAGACTCAGGTAACTGCCTTTCTGTCATGACTAAATACATCAAAATACGAAATATGGGCACCAAATCTCATAGTTGATAGTCATGACTACAAACCAGAGGAAATTCTAGAAATTATTTTTAGGACTTTGCTCTTTTTCATTCATGCTCACATTAGCATCCATGGTAAAGTCATCATCAAAAATGAACAACAATGGAGTCACTCATTATTAAATGGTAATTAAAGGCAGCAAGAAGTAAAATAACTTAAATATTTTTAAAATATATGATCAATCACTATTTTTTAATTTTTTGATACTTATTTATTATGCATATCTGTGCATATGTTCAAGGGCCCAGCACACATACAGAAGTCAAAGGCTAATCGGTAAAGGTCAGTTCTCTCCTTCCACCAAGTGCATTCCGGGCATCGAATTCAGGCTGCTGACCTTGACGGCAAGCACTCTCTGAGCCACCTGATCGGCCCTAAAATTCTTAACATTCTTGAAACTTTTACTGAGATGCCAAATCAGCCTCAGTCAGCTCTTCCCTCAATCCCCTGTGAATACAGCTTCTTAAACGGCTTGTGCCCGAAATGGTAAATTTTTAAACATGCTATGTATCTCCTACTCCGCTAAGGATTTGAAATGAAGGGAGAAGGCAAAATGCCTCTCTTCAAAGCTGTTGTAATTAACCAGAAAATACAACTGACAAAAAAAAAATGTTGGTATGTGTGATTCTCTCTGCAGTATTGCAGAGGAAAAAGGAGCTCACCATGATCTGAAAACAATTCCTTGTTAAGCAGTGAGACCCTGCCTCAAAAAGAGAAGTCTTATAGAAAGATTGAAATACAGGCACAATCTCTTAGAAACTTGACCCTATCAGGAGTGCCCCACCCACCATCCATGGGCCACACGCAGCCCAGGATAGATATGAATGTGGCCCAACACAAACTCAGAAACTTACTTAAAACACATCTCTCTCTCTCTCTCTCTCTCTCTTTTTTTTTTTTTCGTAACTAGACTGCACAGTTCTGTCTCAAGTACAGATTCTGTAGATGATGGAGCCATGTCATAAGGTCAATAAGTCAGATGTGCCTGGTTCTTATTTTAATCTTAAAGAACATCTGCCCTAGAAATCCCAAGAGGCTTCTCTTGGTGGCATACCTGGTAGACGTTTAGGAACTGGGGGAGGTCCTCTCCTGGAAGAGAAGAAAATCAAAGTCTTTCGGGTGAACTCTTATTATTTTCCTATCTTTCCACTTCGTGCTGCAAGCGTACCACACTATCATCCGCTGGCTTCTATCCTAGAGCATCAAGAAGGCTCAACGATGAGGCAAACGATCTGCAGCCCTGACTTGCGGAAACCCAAAGGGCAGGCGCGTATGAAGCCTGCCAGCAGAATGCACAGGACTTGCAGAAACCCAAAGGGCAGGCACTTATGAAGCCTGCCAGCAGAATGCACAGGAGTCAGGAGGGCGGAGCTCTGCCCCGGGCCCGCTGGCAGGATTATCATCTCAGCTGTGGATCTCCTAGCATCTCAGAATCTTTGTACGCAGACTGAGAAACACAAACAGCTCTCGACTCGGTGAGAGTTGTCAGCTCAGTCACATGAACCATTTTGAGTGGTCCTTACAATTGACAGTATGCATTGACCTCTCTCTCAAACACCTTCCACTTTTCCTAAAACTGGAAGGAAAACTCGGCAGACAAGACCTCACTCCACCCCACCCCCACTGGCTTGGCAGGAAATAAAGGTTTCTTTTCCCTTCAGACCCTTTATATTAGGAGCAGCATACTTCCTGTGCAATGGGCCCAATGGCAGCGGCTTAGCTTTGCTGGCCACACTGTCTCTGGGGCACCTCTGCTCAGGTCTAATAGGAAAACAATCATGTAAAAAGAGAGATCCGCTGACCATGCTCCAATAGCTTCTATGTGAGCACCAATCATTTAGAAATATAAGCCAGGGCTAGGTAGACGAATCAGAGATTATGAGTGCTCACTGAAATCCAGGCAGTGGGGAGCGCAAGCTTTTAATCCCAGGAGGCAGAGGCAGGCAGAAGTCTGTGAGTTCAGGGTCAGCCTGGTCTACACATCTAGTTCCAGGACAGGTTCCAAAGTCACCCAGAGAAACCCTGTCTCTAAAAACAAAAAACAAACAAAGAAAACAAAAAAACTGGAGTGCTCGCTGCTCTTTGAGGAGACCCAACACTGGCTCCTAAGAACAATCACCTGTACTTCCAGCTCTAGGGAATGTGATACCCTCTTGTGGCCTCTGTGGATATTCACATACATACAGCATGTAATGACACAGACAGACACACAGATAAAATAAATTTAAAAAAAAATGTAAGCCTGGTGCAATAGCTCATGACTATAATCCTAGCACTCGAGACCTGGGATAGGAACATCTCTGTGAGTTTAAGACCAGTCTGAGTTAAAGAGTGAGATCCTGTCTCAAATAAACACAAACACTCATACACACACACACACACACACACACAGAGAGAGAGAGAGAGAGAGAGAGAGAGAGAGAGAGAGAGAGAGAGATCCTTCTTTACTCATAGGCCCTATAAAAACTAGCAGATCATATCTGACTCAAAGGAGGGCATAGTGTGCTTACTCCTGTTTCCTATCAGCCATAGAAAGGCATAGAATTCATAAACAAGTAATAGCGGTCATACTCAAGTGTGCTACAGGGCCCTGGAAACCACAGCTAATAAAAGCTATGTAACATTTGTTCTAAAAGCACTATTTCAAAGAACAAATTCACCTTAGCAGGTAAATTATGTCAATTAAAAATAAAAGGTAATGTCTTAATATAATTAATTATATTAACAATATAAAAATTTATTAAAATATTTTCTTCACATGAAAAGCAGTTGGTTATTACCTTGCTACATTGGGCCCTGTAGTCTTTCCTTGTGGGGCCGCATTCCGCTGAGAAGAGTAGAAATTCTCATACATGATGGGTGCTGCAATTTTTAAGACATATGACATCAGAAACAGGTGAAGGTTGGAGTAGAACTCTTGCCAAGCCGACAAAAAGCCCTGGCTTCATCACCCAGGGCTAAAAGACACTGAGTGCACATGCCTGTCACCACCTTGGTCCTCAGGAGGTGGAGGCCAAAAGATCTGCAGTTCAATGTCATCCGCAGTTGTACAGCAAGTTTAAGATTAGCCTAGATATAAGACCCTGTCTCAAAAAAAGTAAATAAATAAAAGGCAGGGAGACCTAGAACAATCTCCAAAAGCCTATGTGTTAGAGACGTTGTCCCCAGCTTAGCACTAATAGAAGGCAATAGAACCTTTAAGAAATATAACCCAGTAGGAGCAAACCAGGTCAGGTCACTGCAGGCATGGCCTGGTCTGCTCCTCTGTCACATCTTGGCTGTAGGATGAGCAGCCCACTGGGCCACTCTCTACCACAGTGTGCAGCCTTGCTACAGCCTCAAGAGCAATGGCAGCAACAGGACTAAAGCTTTGAAAAACTAGAGCTAAAAATAAACCTTTCTCAGACAGTTATCATATGGACTCACTCATAAGTGGCTTTTAGACATAAAGAAAACCAGTTACAAATCACTACCCCAGAGAACCTAGACAACAATGAGGACCCTAAGAGAGACTTACATAGATCTAATATACATGGGAAGTAGAAAAAGACAAGATCTCCTGAGTAAATTGGGAGCATGGGGACCATGGAGAGGAAAGAAGGGGAGGGGGGAGAAGGGAGGAGAGCAGAGAAAAAATGTATCATTCAATAAAATCAATCAATTAAAATAAAATTAAAAAATAAACTTTTCTCTTATTGGCCAATTTACATCAGCTATTTGTTACAGCAGCAGAAGCTGACTAATACAGCATCTTACCAGGACAAGAAAGACTAATACCATTGCTTAACTGCACCCCCATGCCACCCAGCTCACCTGGTGGAGTATATCCAGTTTTACGCTGGTTCACAAAATACTGAATATCCTTTTCAATGCTGCACAGTTCCAAACTCTTACGGACTTGTTCATACATCTGATCAACACAAGATAAAGCATTATGCAGAAGTTTACTGATGAGAAAAATTAAGGCACCGCTCTATAGGAGAGGAACGTTCATGAGCAGCCAACTCTTTTGCGACTTTGTTTTGAAAGTAGGAGACATTCCCAAGTCCAAGGGTGCTGTGGGAACTCTTTCACCCAGTAGCCTTTAAGATACCAGCCCACTTGGGCATGGCCTCTTATACTATAAATGCCAACACAAAGCCTGTGCTTGTTCTCACTGCTGCTGGATTCTGTTCTTGTTCCCCGTTCGTGCAGAGAACTGTAATTTGTGAGTCTACCCCTAAGTAAAGAACTCTTGATTATACTCAGTTCTGAGCTAGTGTAAAATTATTTTATAGTGTCCACCTGCACAAGACTCACACAAGGGCACCTTTCTAGTACATCTGGGATATTGCCTTTTTTTAGATGAAAAAAAATTAAAATGCAAGGAAATATTCCTTTCTGGCCAGACCAAAACCATGGTTATTTTTTTTTAAGTATTGATGGAATAAAGAAACTATATGCCAAGTCCCATGACTAAGTCTCAGGGCCACCCACAAACGCAGTCACAACTACTTAACCTGGGAATAAGTCTTTCCATTCGATTCTATGGGTTTCTTGGACATCTGATCATTCTAAAGTCATGTCCCATCTGAGAGAGAGTGGGGCTATTACTTAACCGCGTCTGGTGTCTTTGATATTTGGGGACCCAGTTACCTTTGCTGCGCACAGTTAATTCTGGATAAGCACCATGAGAGACAGTAGCAAATCCTCACCCTGGGGTGACCATCAGCCTGCCATGAGTCAGTCTGCTAACATTCGGGGCAGGAAGTGATGGCATTCTACCCTGGAGGTGTCCCTGGGACTCACACTCGTCTGTGACATCTCTGGTGTTTAGGTTTCATTATCTGCTATCCACCCCCTAACTCACGTTTCTCAGAGAGTCACGATGGTAAAATGGACCAAGAGTCAGGAAGATGACAGCAATGCTCACATCTTTATCACTCTGTACCCCAAATGGAAGCAGAAATTGAGAAGAGGGTGAACCAATAGGCATTGGGCTCTTGCTGCTCTGGTGGCTCTAACACAGAGAGCACGGTCTTCTGTGAATGCTTCTCACCTCATCACTGGTGACGCATTGCTGTGACAGCTGATTCAGATGTAACCACAACGCATTCCGGAAGAAGTTGATGCGCTCACATTCTTGAGCCTCAAACACCTACAGAGAAACAGTTACGTGTACACATGTATGTAAAGAAGGGGCATCCGTTTAGACTGGCTATGGCGTAAACACTATTAGCCTACATTGATAGGTGGAGTTTAAAGAGTAATGCAGAAGAAAGTGCTTAGTGTGAGCATAAAGCTCCACAGTATCAAACTGTAGAAATAAGTCAAACAAGGTTCATTTCATCAAATAAGATCAAACAAATGAGATTAAAAAAAAAACACTGAAGTTGGTCTGGGGGCACGGCTCAGTGTACTGGAACTTGCATAAGGCTCCAGGTTTCATCACCAGCACCTCTCAAAGGTAAGAGAAATCACAAAGCCCTGGACCTCACACCGAGGGCATCCCCACGACCGTGAGAGAGGAGAAAGCAGGCGTAGACAGTAAGGTTTAGGCTGGGACAGGCTGGAACTTGGGACTTGCAAACAACTTCAAAAAACATGGCTGGGGCTGAGAACATATCTCAGTGGTAGAGCATTTACAAGCGTGAGGTTCTAGGCTGGATTCCCAGCGCGCGCACACGCACGCACGCACGCACCGCATGCTGGAGGAGACAGACACAGGGACAAAGAGAGAGTATGCCCATGCCCAAGAGGTAGGGAGACTGTGTCAAAGGGTACATACAGAGAGGCCCGCTGATCATCATAAGACCTTGGCAGGGCAGGGAGCAGCTGTTTTCCCACTTTAAGGAGAGCTGCGAATTGGCGATTGTAATCCTTAATTTCACAGAGACTGCCTACCAGCTGCCACCCTAGAGTTCCTCACTCCCAAGGCCTGGATAGGGCTGAGAGTCCACATTTCTACCCAATCTTCGGATAATACTGGTTCTGCCGGTCCTGGGACACTGTTAGCAACTGGTGCCAGAAAGTTGAGGAACTTTCTTGTGTCTTTTAAGTTTTCTCTAGGAAATTATGGAATCCTGTGTATTCCCCTTCGAACCTGGCAAGTACAGGCATGACTCTCGGAGGAATTACAGCGCTCAGTCCGCCACTAACCGATGAGGCCGGGTCATGCCCGCGCTAACCAAATATTAGACAAACGCTTTGGAGGGAGCTGTGTGGTGAGGTCAGGGTGGGGAAGGGGCCCAAAAGATGAGGATTAGAGGAAATTACTCCAATCCCTTCCATTCTCCACTTAAATCCTCAGTCTCTAACTCGCCCTCGCGCTCAGTGACTGAATGAAGCACGAGGGGCTAACATGAAAGCAGAGTCTCGGGCTCTAAGGGGAAGATGTGCTCGATCCCACGCTGCTTCCAGTCCTCGGTACCTACCTCGCAGGCCTTAATGTGCTCGCTCTGCCAGTCTTCTCGGACCTTCTCCAGTATGTTGATGTGCAACATGTAGGCTTTATCTACAACGGACGGGGAGTTGATATAGAAACCAGGCAGGTTTGTTGGATTGCAGCTGTTCCCTTCCGAGGCCCATTAATCCTACATGGTCATAACAATGCAAACAGTTGCAACCAACCCTCCCCAGGTAGAGCACACCCCTCCCCTTACCTGAATCCTCTACTGCGGTCTTTGAAGTGGCCAGTTTCACAAAAAGCTGCAAGGACCAAAACCAGAAAGAGATTAAGGGAAGCTGATTCAGGCGTCCATGGCCAAACACATGCAAAAGCAATAGCAATGGAGAGGTGAGGTCTGGTCAAAGTCCTATATACGTTCCACTTAGAAGCAAATCTTTCATCTTCTCAGCATCAGAAAACAACCCTCCTGTGTCTTCCTATAGACACATCTCCCTGCCTCGATCCGTGGATAATATTATATATTATTACTTTATTTTATATTTTGTGTGTGTATGTAAGTGTCTTGCATGCATGTATTCTGTGTGCCACATTGGTGCCTGGCACCTGCAGAGACCAGAAGCGGGCATCGGACACCCTGGGACTGGAGTTAGGGATGGTTGTGAGCTGCCATGTAGGTTCTGGGAATCAGACTTAGGACTCCTGGAAGAGCAGTCAGTGCTATTAACTGCTCCAGGAATATTACTAAATGTATTATTTAATTTATTCATATTATTATGTCAGTCCACTCACAAGCAGCATTCTGTCAGCAGAGAATACAGGAGCTGAGTTTTGAAGACGTTTAAAAGGAGTGCCAAGCCCGTTATTCCACTCACTGTACTCCAGTAATGTGCTTCTCTGGTGCTTTCCCCAACCTCGAAAATGTTCAAGGGTTTTTTTTTTTTCATTCTGAAGATTAGACGCCAAAAAAGTTATTGCCAGAAACTTTGGGTACAAATCTATTTAAAAAAATAATAATTTAAGTGGTTTTTAATCTTTATTTTTAATTTTTGAGATGAGGTTTCACTACCTAGCCCAGTCTAATATTAAACCCTCATAACCCTCCTGCCTCAACCTTCTGAGTACTAGGACAACATGCACGCACATCATGCCTAAGCCCTGGTTGGTTTTAAACCAACGTGACTGCATCTCTGAGTCTTCAGGTTGTAGACCATGCTAGGTACCTTCTCTTGTTGCTTTGGGTTGGCCATATTGGCATTGCGCTGGACAGCCTGCTCTGCCTCATCCTTGTCCCGGCACTTCTGCTCGTAAGTCTTCTTGGCCTTCATTACAAACAGAAGGTGGAGATGGGTGAGCAAAATATCCAGTGTGGAAATCAGCCAACACAGCCCTCCAGGCAGGGTCCAGGCCCAGCACAAGCTCTCGCTGGTGCTGGAATCGACAGAGATTAGGCTCTCGGAGGGAAGGTGCCCTTCACTGTTCTCTGAGGAGTCCCCAGTTCCAGTCCTTTACCAGACTACTCAGAGGGGGCCCCTGCGCAAGGAAACAGTAACTGCCATTTGGCACAAAATACACAAATGCTAAAGACTCGGAAATGGGACTTGAAATGTATATGACTGACTCTTCTGATTTTTCTTTATTCTTGAAACTTTCATACGATTACACAATGCAATATGATCATATCCACTCCATGTGTATAATTTCTAAGATGTGTAATCCAACATTTATGTAACATTCATAATCCATAGAGTCTATGTAATCACTCAGTCACTGGAACCAGCTTCCTCTCTTTCTCAACAGACATCAGTGTTCCAGAGTCCCCAGCCACGGTCTTGCGTACCAATGTTGTCTCTCCCACTTCAAGACAGTCATTATTAAAGACTTTGGTTCTACATACTTCAAAGTAGCCAGTGCCCTATCTTATGCCACTATTACTACTAGGATTATGGAATCATTTCACAAACCCTAATTATTGTTGTAGCAAGAAAATTAGTTTGTTTCAGGTTTAGAAGCAAAACCTTAGCTTGTTTAAACAACACAAAACAATTAGCAAATAAATCAAAGTGATAGTTCTACTTGACTAAGAATAAAGATGTCCTTTCTTGACTGGAGAGATGGTTCAGCCATCCAAGGCTTAGCTCACAACCAAAAGTACAACTCTTTTTCTTTGTTTGATCAAATGCTGTAACCAGAGTGAAGAGGTTCAAATCCAGCCTCACCGTTATCTATATATATTTTTTGCTTTTGTTTTTAATAAATTACATCTCTGTGCCTTTGTTTTGCCATCTATAAAGCAAGGATTTTTATATATTTACTTATATACTATATCATTACATAGCATACAAAATTTTATTTTTATATAGAAAGAGTATGTTCCTGGTTTTCATAACTATAAAAATGCATGACAATCATACAAAAAGACCCATGTAACAATTCCTTTTACACAACATCTTGGAGAGATTTCTCTCTATCAAGCACAATCACTATACCACCACACTTCTTTGTGGTACTGAGAACGGAACCCATGGCTCTGTACCGCTAGAGAAACACTCTGCCACTGGCTCTAAGCCCTTGGTTCTCTGAGACAGGGTCCCGCTATGCAGTTCAAGCTGGCTTTTGACTTGCTATGTAACTCAAGCTGTTCTCAAACTCATGGTCCTCCTGCCTCAGACTCCTGAGTGTTGGGGTTACCCATCTGTACCACCACACTACTGTGGCATCTAAAACTCCAAAGTATCATATATAAAACAAGTGTAAGATTCTGAAAGGTAAAAGTTCGCCCAGGCAAACTGGCTAGGAACCTTGGCCAAAGAGCAGTCCAAGGGTGAGTTGCCTTGCCACATATATCACAGATCCAGTCCCAAAGAAGCAGGTGGCCCAGAAATACAGCAATACACTCAAAATATTTTTTTACCTGCTCTCCTTAGTCAAAAGACTAGAAAAAGATTATCCTAACAAAACATAAACTTAAAACAAAATAACCAGTTCTCTGACATTAAACAAAGCGTAAATCACAAGGGCTCAAACCAGCAAGGGCTCAGTGGTTAAAGGCACTCACTGTGCAAACCTGTTGACTTGAGTTTGACCACCTTGACCCATGTAAAGTGAATCAGAGAAAAGTGACTCCACAAAGTTTTCTTTGACCTCCCCACAAGTGCCATGAAACACACACACACACACACACACACACACCAATAACAACAACAATAAACAAACAAACTAAGGCTAACTTACACGTGATAGTAAAAGCCAGTTAGACAGTCCAGACTCCCATGGATACCAGGCTGTAATGTTACACCCAGCTCCCCTGCTAAGGCATCGTCTGTGACAGGAGCTACAGTGTCTCTTCTTCCAGGGGGGCAGAAGACACCATGTGGGGAGCCTGAACCTTCTACCCCTCCTTGACTTACTGGACCTACAATAGCCAGGTCACTTTCCTCCTGAGGTGGTAGCAGAGGAAGTGTAGTAGAAAATCAGAACTTCTGATGAGGACAAGGGAACCTGAACTCTTGATGTGGGATTTCCCTCTGTATGGTATGATTACCATTAATGAATAAAGAAACTGCTTTGGACCTGTAGCAGGGCAGAACTTAGCTAGACAGGGAAAACCAAACTGAATGCTGGGAGAAAGGAGACAGAGTGAAGGGAGAAGTCATGGAGCAGCTGCCAGAGACAGTCATGCCTAAACTGTGCTGGTAGACCACAACCTCATGGCGATGCACAGATTAATGGAGATGGGTTAAATTAAGATGTAAGAGTTGGCCAATACGAAGCTAGAGCTAGTGGACCAAACAGTGATTTAAATAATATGGTTTCTGTGTGATTATTTCGGGTCTGAGCTGCCAGGCGACCAGGAAACAAACCAACAGCTTTCCTTATAACAAACTCTTAACCCCAGACAGCAATAATGAGGCAACTGCCTCACCTCATGCTGGCGTGGTGAGGAAAACAGCTAAAACATGGTTTAAATAATCTAAAGTTTTTTTCATAATACCCTAAATATCCAAATCAATTTAGTACCACCCAAACTAAGAACTAGAAAAAATATATTAAACCGAATGGACAAAGGCAATCGGCAGATCCAGCATCAAGATGACAGATTTTGGAACCACCTGACAAAGACTGCAAAAGCATTCGGCAACCAACTACACACCGAAAGACACCAAAGCGAAACATAATGGCAAAGATACAGAAAAGCTAAGCAAAGACACAGATGATGAAAGAAACTCTCAGAACTGAAAAGTAGCTTGAAAACACAAAAGCTAAACAGAAAGGAAACAGAAGAGGAAGTTGACCAAACTAACAGGAAGGCGTGAGCATCACAGAGTGTAAGCAACAGAGCATTTGGTATCTTCTCAGCACTGTGAGCAAGAGGTAGGTGGTGGGAAGAAGGATTTCCGTTAGTTCACAGCCCATCCTGGCAGGGAAGTAAGGTGGAGTCCATGGCAACAGGACCTGGGCTCCTCACAGCTCAGTGGATTGAACCAGGAAGTAGAGAAAGGGAAATACTGGCACTCACCAGGCTTTTTCCATTCTTCCATTTTGATCCAAACTCAGAGCCCCAGGCCATAACATGGTGTCACCACAGTTAGGGGTATCACCACAGTTAGGGGTATCACCACAGTTAGGGGTATCACCACAGTTAGGGGTGTCACCACAGTTGGGGTGTCACCACAGTTAGGGGTGTCACCACAGTTGGGGTGTGACTTTCATTCTCAATCAAACCTCTAGGGAAAGACCCTCACAGAAAAACTCCCAGGTGAGCTTCCTTGATGACCTTGGGATTTTTAACGCAATCAAAATTCACCACCACTGAAGACGGGAAAAAGAAAATTTAACCGAGTCTCAGGGACCTTTTGTACAAAAAGAAGCAAGCTAATACCTCATGGACTTGGAATCTTACAAGAAGATGGACTAAAACTACACGTAAAGAGGTAATTGAGGTGATCCCAACTTTGGTAAAAGATACAACCTACGGTCTAAAACTGTCTAAACTCTTAACAAGCAAATTCTAAAGGCACCCAAGGCATATAATGGAATTACTAAAAGATAAAAACGAAGAAAATATCTTAAAACAGTGACAGTAATGACATTTCATCTAAAAGAAAAACAACTTGATTAACACAGATTTCTCACTAGAAACAACAAGAACAAAAAGGAAGAAGCACAATACATTTTAGATGCACAAAGAAAGGAACTGACAAAATACAATCCCACCATCCCTGGGGATAAAATACAATCCCACCGTCCCTGGGGATAAAATACAATCCCACCATCCCTGGGGACAAAATACAATCCCACAGTCCCTGATCAGTCAGTCAGCAAATGAGTGGACAAAGAAAATGGAGAACTGTATGACAGAGGACTTTTACTCGAACATCAGATGGAATAAAATTGTGTCACTTACAGGAAGATGGATGGGATTATGATAAGCGAAATAACCCTGACTCAGACAATTTTTTTTTCTCAAATGGAAGTCTCATGTATATGTATTTCACTACAATAAACAAAGTAGACAAAAAGGAATTATGGAGTGAGTGAAGGGGCCTTACAGCCAAGCCTGACAACCTGAGTTGGACCCCTGAGACCCATACGATGGAAGAAGAGAACCAACTATTGAAAATTGTCCTCTGACTTCTATGTGTGCCAAGGTATTGAATAGAGCTGTGTGCTCCCCCTGCCCCCATGCACATGCACACACACACACACACAATTTCACTTAAGATTTATGGAGAAAAGCCGGAGAGATGGCTCAGTGGGTAAATACACTGCTGCTCTTCCAGAACCTACACAGCAGCTCACAGCCGACCACCTACACCTCCAGCTTCAGGACTCTGACACCCTCTTCTGCCCACCATGATGCTCACAGTGACATACATATGAACGAGGGAATTGCTCACACAGTCAGGCATGGTGGTGTATACCTTTAATCCCAGCACTCTGAGAGGCAGAGGCAGAAAGATGTCTGTGAGTTCAAGGCCAGCTTGGTCTACAAAGCAAGGTCCAGAACATTCAAGGCTGTTATACAGAGAAACCCTGTCATCAAAAACAAAACAAAAATGAAAACAAAAAACTCATGCACATAAAATAAAAATAATTTATAAAAACTGATTTATGGAGAATTCAAAATACTTTTCAAATTTTATTTTTAGGAACTGGAGAGATGGCTCAGTGGTTAAGAGCACTGACTGCTCTTCTAGAGGTCCTGAGTTCAATTCCCAGCAACCACACGGTGGCTCACAGCCATCTGTAATGAGGTCTGGTGCCCTCTTCGGGCATGGAAGCATACATGCAGACAGAACACTCATGTCTAAAATAAAAAATAGATTATTTTTCAGTGTAAGCTGGAGTTACGGGTGGTTGTGCAGGGAGCACGTGCCGTGGCACAGAGGACAACCTGTGGGGGTAGTTCTCTCCTCCCTCCTTGTAGGACCAGGGATCAAACTCAGGTGGCCAGGCGTGGCAGGAGGCACCTTGACCCACCGAGTCCTCCCTCTAGCCCTCAAAAGATTCTCAGACTGAAGAAAACTATGGATGGCGTGAGTGTGCCATGAAAGCCGGGCTCGTAGGCGGTGAATGCTTTCAACTCCCAGATGTATTTAAGTGAGAGCATTGTCATGAAACACACCGCTTTCTGCTGTGAATGTTGACTACTGACAAGAACGGAGAGAAAGCCCAAAGCAATGTGGCAGCTGGCAGGAGCTAAGGTGCGGGCATTCGTTACTTATAATTTCACGAGCTAGTTGAGCCTCACAGGATACAGACTTTGGGGATGAATGATGATGGTGTTTGCACTGCATTATGAACACATTTAGTATCTCTGAGCTGTACACTCACTAATGGATAAGATAGCCTCGATTACCTGCACAAGGCCTGCCTAGGATCCAGCTCATTCTGTCATGGAGTGGGGAGCAGTTCACAAGACCACAGGTTGTGCAGGGAGAGATAGGTTCTTTGGGGGCATAGCCACTGGTTGGGTGCCCGTGCTGCTGTGAATAATCCTTCACACAGGCTCCTGAAACCCACCCTAATAAGTGCTTTCAATAAAATGTTCACTGGCAGACATATTCTGAAGCTAAAAAGTTCTCTAAGTAAAAAGAAACTATACTAAGCCAGTCGTCCCCATCAGCTTAGACCATGAAACCCAACATGGACAAGTTCAACAGAACTGCCATATACGGGCTGCCCTTGCAGGCTTCAGCATTGCCAGGACATAAATTTCATTTCAATTTTATACTAAAAGAAACTGTGGAACTTGATTTTTTAAAAAAAGGGAAATAGCATGGTTAGTGTGATGGTTAATCTCAATTGTCAATTTTGTAGGAGCTAGGCTTGCTGGGAAGATGGGCCTCTGAGCACAGGGCTTGGGGATTATCTTTATCGGGTTAAGTGATGCAGAAGGAGCCACCCACTATGGGCAGCGCCATTCCTTGGGTGGGTCTGAGACTGTATAAGAAGGAGAGTGGTCTGAGCACAAGCATTCACTGCACTTCCCCCTGACTTCATGCTCTGTGTCCAGCTATTGCAGGCTCCTCGACTTGGACCTCCCCACCGTGATGGACACAAAATAAGCCTTCTTTTCCTCAGGTTGCCTCTAGCAGAGTGTTTTATCCTAAAGAGAAGACTAGAAACTACAACAGTGAGAGGGGGAAAAAGTCAAATACAAATTTCAAAATCATATTGTTAGTGGAAGCGAAATAATTAACAATAATATTTGCTTTGGCCCAGATCCTCATACTTGACCCCACATGCACCAACGGTCAGAGAAAACACTTTGGGAAGTGATTGATCATGTGGGCTCTGACCCCACCGTCAGGTCAATGCTGATAGGTTCATAATCTGATGGACTATTGAAAGATGGTAGAAACTTAGGAGGTGGGACCTGCTTGAAGCCTGTGGGCCCTCGGGGGCTGTATTTGTCCCCAGCCCCTTCTTTGTGGTCTCCTGCTTCAAAGGCAGCTTTGCTCCTTCACCCACTCCACACCATGACGTTCAGTCTCCCTTCAGGACCAAGCAACCACACACAGAAGCCTCTGGAACTGTGAATCAAAACCAACCTTCCTTCCAAATCTTGGGTTGTTTTCTCTGATGTTTTTGCCATAACAGAAAACTGATTGACACTACCAATAATCTAAGTACAGGTACAAGAAACAATCAAGACATGTATATTTTCTTTAGAAGTCATTCTCTTTAATTGTGAGAAAACTTGCCCCAGATTTCTCAAAATGTCACACATACATACATACACACATGCATGCATGCACCACACACACATGCATGCACACGCACTTATGCACACATAGGCACACGCATGTGTGCATGTGCACACACATGCATACATATACACACACATGCGCGCGCGCACACACACACACACGCACATTCTCCAGCACTATTTCAGCACTCTACAGCCAACATTCCCTCCTGACCAAATGCTTTGATGTGGTTTCCAGCAAGAAATAGTACCAGCAGCCGAGCAGACCACATGTGCCATCCACACAGTGATACTTTCAACACCACGTCACAGTCACACATGCTACATATATAGCAGTCTGACTTCTAAAAGATGTTGTTGTAGCGCACACTAAGGGACTCATGGAAAGCTAGGAAGGGAGCTGTAACAACTTGTCCCTGGCTTGCCACACATTGTTACTAAAGCACTTAAAGGAATGGAAACTTTTATAATCCCCAGGTATCTTAAAACACAAAAGGCTCATTCAGTAAAATGAGAAACAAACAAGGTTTAGAACTGCCATTAGGTAGAAAAACAAGATAAATAGTGTGTGTGTGTGTGTGTGTGTGTGTGTGTGTGTGTGTGTGTGTGTTTATATGTATGTGTATGTAGGTGTGTTTATCTATGTGAACATATGTGTATGTGCCTGTGTATCTGTGTACATTTGTATGTGTTTATATTTGTGTGTCATATGCTTTACGTCACATCCTAAAATATAAGTGGACTAGTTTTTATTTTTCCAGGTGTCATGTTAACTGTTCCAGCAGAGATGAGCAAACATCTACTCACCCCCATCAGGTATCAACAGACAAAAGAGATTATTCCACTCAAGTACAGCTTGGTGGACCAATGGTTTGATTGTGGATAATTATAGGAACAAGGGTGAAGGTCACCTACAGACATATGGACAACCTATGGGTAGTTACACTGCAGAAGAAACATCTGCCCCTTCCTAGAGCTATGATCTACCCACGTCCTTCTGACAGCATGGCCTTGTGAAGCCCCTTATCCTGTCCTGTGAACCTCCCTCTCCTGCAGGAGAGAATGTTACTGGGTCCAGTCTTGCTAAGGATGTTGGTAGCCATGATACTGACTTAGAAGGCAATAGCTCACCACACCCAGAGGACAGAGTTCTACACCAGATCGTCAGAAATAAAGCAGCATCGTACCAACATTCTCCTATCCTCAAGGCCTTAACAGGAAGGAAATTAAGTATTTTCCTTAAGAGCACATCAATAAATGACATCATTGAAACATCATTTGAGTAGGAGCACGTCCATGAACAGAATGTCCGATAACGTCACTATTATAAAAACAGCAGCAGCCAGTGTAACTCACATCCATGGTCTTCTTGTATTGTGAGTTCTTCTGTTTGTGGGCAGCATCCATTATAGTTTCTGTCTGTGAAGAGAATACAAACACTGTCAATAAAAACTGTAAGTTACTGCTAACAGCAGCTCGTCTTGAGGGCTAAGCGTTCAACGCGGGTTATCCAGTTTAGTCTTCAGGTCACCCAGAAGCCAGATGTGCTATCTATTGTCCCCTCATACTAATGAAGACAGTACAGGGCAGAGACTAAACTTCTTTCTCAAGAAGTCACAGGCGGTTAAAGACACTGCATCGTATTTAGCCTGGGCACTTACACCCTGAGTCCTGAACCCTCAAAACATCACCAGAGTCTCACTGATCACCATGGAGTGCTTTCTTCAGGGAATCTAGACTCAAAGGACTTTGGTTTCCAGAAGTTTTAAATTCTTGTTAAAATACCATTTGTACTTTAAAAGCATCTTTATTCTGGAAGCTTTGTCAGCACAGGCAAATTAGGAGTGACTTCTGTGACTCCTCAATGACATACGCTTTATGACAAGCTGCCAGGAGAAGAAGGAAGTGTCTGTAGCAGTGCTAACAGAAACTGTTCTAAGATCTAGCCTCATCTAGCCAGCAAGGTAAACTCCATGGAGTTCACTTGAGTACAGTTTCTTCATTGTAGTTGCGATGATGCTACTTTTGTTAGTCAATAAATGCCTGCCTCTCAGACACGGTTTTTCTGGTCCCCATTTATCTAGCACTTCTGTGCGAAGCTACTCCATGATCACAGTAGTATTTCTGTGTAAATGCTACATCTTCATTTTCCTGATGAGCCCAAAGAAACAAAGTCAATGTTTGTGGTTTGGATGAGGATGGCCCCCGGAGGCTCATAGCGCTGAATGCTTGGTCTCTAGCTGGTGGAAGTGTTTGGGGAGGATTGGATGTGTGGCCTTGTTTGGAGGAGGTGTGTCGCTGGGAGTGGGCTTTGAGCCCACACCATTCCCAGCTAGCTTTCTGGCTGCCTCCTGGCTATTGTCTCAACACTAAGCATTCAGCTACCATTCCAGTGCCATGTCTGTCTGCCTGTTACCAAACTCCCTGCCATGAGGTCATAGACCTCAATAAACTTTTTCTTCTATAAGTTGCTTAGTTCATGATGTCCACACCACAGCAGCAAAGCAACTGAGACTGTCAGTAAAGAAGAAAGCTGACATTTGCACCAAGGAGCCTACTTATTTATCACTGAAAATGAATTTCAAATGCAGCTCTTACTGGATACACACACATTTAGGTTTTTATATATTACCATAACAGACAAGCATGGATGGATTTTCAGGATGTTTGGATGAAATACTTCAGGTGCTCTCACTTCAAATGGAATAAATGAAACTCCCCCGGGGGAGCTCCAGAGACCCCGGAATTTACCTCCTAGCCTTCTCTAAAGCAGAGAGAGCAGGAAGTAGCTACTCGTCTGGTAATGAAGAAGACAACGCAGGCACAGTGACAGGGCTCCAACACCAGCCCCACATGGAAAGACACATGACAGACCCTGGCCACAGCCGCCAGGGAGCTCAAGTCCACAAAACTGACTAGCAAGAGCTAGCTTTACTTCTTTAGTAATCACGGTTCATTTTCCTGGGCTACTTGAGCTGATCAATTAGCAGTGCTGGCTTTGCCGTGGTCCTTTTAGTCCAAATATACACTTTGCTACTCATCCAGTTGGTGGTTGCTACTGGTTTATAACTGATAGTCCAATGTGTCTCCTTATCTCCAAGTTCTACATAGAATCTACTTTAGACCCCCTTCTTGGGCGCTGAGTGAGTTACGCTAACTCCTTTCTTCCTATCAATTCCCCTCTGCCTTCACAGGAACACCAGTATTTGAAAGTTGTTAAGACCCTAAAAAGCAGCCATTGACTCTAAGCAGACATGGGTTATTTCAGGAACCTGGGTGACATGCGTTGCTAAAACCCACTCAGCGAGTTAGTCATGGCATGTCGGGTCCATCTCTATCGGCTAAGTAGCCTTGGCCTAAGTCTTCTTGTGTCCGTGCTCACTCACAGGGTGACCCACTCGTGGTGACCTCAGTGAGCCCAAATTCTCTTGCAGGTGCTTTTGGAGGAGATGCTCTTTTAGCATTTAAGTTTCCTGCTCCGACCAAAGCGAATGGGAATGTGTTTTATTATTGATAATACAAAGGATTTAAAAACAAAACAGTAAATTACATGTGGAGACACAGCTCAATACTGTACTTGCACAGAAAACCCAAGATCCTGAATTCAACCAGTTGCATAAGAGAAAAGGAAAGAGAAGAAAGAAAAGCAAGCAACTGACTGGTTCTTTTGATGGGTAGAAACATCTCAATTTCCAAGAAGTGGAAGGTCAGAGCAAGCAGTGGGGCAGTTTGAAAAGGGGAAGTTAGCATTGAAACATGCTTTTCCCCAAAACATGTTCTTTAAAAAGAAAAGAAAAGGAGGGGTACCCAAAGTCACCCCAGAGTCTGTTGTGAAACACTTAACTACAGTTTTCTAAATAAACTTCTGACTTTTCAATGTTTTGAAAGCAGCTTCTGATAAGAAAGGAACTGAGTCCAGGCACTCAGCACAAGGGTCAAGGCGGCCAACAGCACCTAGGGTGAGGAAATGACCCTTTACAGTGGAGTTATACACAAATAGCTCAGTATTATGGTTCTTTTTATTTTTTTAACTGTTCCTCCTGAGACACGAAATCTCCTTATCTTTTTAATGATTCTTTTCTTTCCTTGTTTTTGAGACAAGGTCACACTAAGTAATCCCCACTGACCTGGAACTCTTTGTATAAACCAGATTAGGTTCTCCGGGATGTTAAAGATGTATGCCACCACACTCAGCTTTACGTTTTTTAAAAATTGTATGTCTGTGCCCATCTGTGTGTGATGTGTGCATGTGAATCCAGTGCCCATGGTGGCCAGAAGGAACGTATACCCTTGGAACTGAGTTACAGGTGGTTCATCCATCTAACACGCTACTGAGAACTGAACTCAGATCCTCCACAAAGGCAGCACACACTCAACTACTGAGCCGTCTTTCCAACCTCCCAGTTCTTTTGCTGTCCTTTCTGCTAGGCGTGGTGGCACACGCCTTTAACCCCAGCACTCAGGAAGCAGAAGCAGCGGATCTCTGAGTTCCAGCACAGCCAGGGCTATAGAGAGAGAACCTGTCCAAGAGAGGGTGGGAAAATGAGAGTAGAGGAGAGACAAAAAAATTATCATTTCAGAGCTGAAGAGATAACTCATCGGTTAAGAGAACCCAAATTTGGCTCCCAGCACCCATGTCAGTGGCTCACAAACTCCTTTAACTCCAGTTTCAGAGAATGCAATGCCTCAATGGACACACACACACACACACACACACACACACAAACACACACAAGTAAAAATAAAAATAATTATTTGTAGGAGAGGGCATAGCAAGGATCGGAGGCGGGTAGCTAAGAAAAGTAGGAGGGAGAAAAGTGGGGGTGATGTAATTTTATTTCAATTAAAAATAGGTAAGTAAGGGGCTAGAGAGATGAGTTAGTGACTAAGAGCCCTGGCTGCTCTCCTAGAGGACCAGCATTCAAGTCCCAGACCCCACACGGCACTCACACCTGTCTGTAACTCCAGTTCCAGGGATCCGATGCCCTCACACAGACACACATGTAGGCAAAACACCAATGTATGTAAAAATTATTTTAAAAGGAAGATGAATAAAAGGTAACTTTTTAAAAACCTGGTGCCAGGCACAGTGGTACACACCTTTAATCCCAGCACTTGGGAGGCAGAGATGAAGGTCTCCGTGAGTTAGAGACCAGGCTAGAGATAGAGAATTATTTAGTTCTATAGATATACAGAGCTTCACAGGGAGGCCCTGTCTCAAAGAACAAATCCATCTGTATTTCCTTAAAAAATAGGCAGACGTGGTAATGTCAAATAAAAGAATCTGTTACCTAACGAGTACAACACCCACGATAACTCTGTCTGAAAAAAGACTTTGGTTCAGCTGCAACCTCAAGTGTGATACACAAGTTTGAGAGAACACGTGAAAGTGTCTGATGCAGTGTTCCTTAACCATCTGTGTCTGTCCTTCCACACTCAGAGACACTGCACAAGCACTGGCTGAGAAATAGGAAGAGGCGGCGGTGTGCAAGGAGTAGCTCTTAAGCCAGGCGTAGCAGCACATGTCCACAGTCCTAGTAGTCAGCAGGTGGAGGCCAGAGACTCCGCTATATGGTGAGCTGGAGGCCAACCTGGGCTTCGCGAGACTATTGTCTCTAACAAAGGGAAAAGCAGCTCATGAAATGATGGCAAATGAAATGAGACACAGAGACACAGAGGCTCTTTTTTTTTCTTTTCTTTTCCTTTTTGAGACAGGATTTCTCTGTGCAGCTTTGGAGCCTGTCTGAAAACTCATTCTGTAGACCAGACTGGTCTTAAACTCACTGAGATTCACCTGCCTCTGCCTCCCAAGTGCTGGAATTAAAGGCGTGTGCCACCACCGTACAGCTCATCATAATAACTTATTCACTCCCATCACCTTTAATATATGTGGGATCCCATCAATGAAAAAGAGTCTTGTGGGTGCTGGAGAGATTGCTCAGCAGTTAACAGCACTGGTTGCTCTTTCAGAAGACCTGGGTTCAGTTCCCAGCACACACATGATGGCTCACAACTGTCTGTAACTCCAGTTCCCAGGGATGGATACCCTCTTCTGGCTTCACAGGCACCAAGGCACACATGTGGTGCACACGCATGCATGCACATAAAATGAAAATTAATACATCTTTAAATAAAATAGGGCCCTTCCAGAGCTGCTTTGAAGACGAAACAACTTGAATCTCCCAGGGTCAGTTTCCTTTCTAGTTATAAGTAGGATTATTCCATTCCATTATGAACTTCAAGGGAAGTGGGAGTCTGCCCAACCCCCCAGTTCTTCAGTCCCTGCTGCCTTGCAGAGGAGGACTGTGATCTGGATGCTCACTAGCTAGGATGTGTTTGATGCCACAAGAGATCTCCAGCCACAGTCTTGACAGGGACAGCAGATCTGAAAAGAAGATACACGCAAACAGAACCACTGAATTCTGCAAGAATTTTGTCCAGGTTCTGGGTGTATAAAATCACAGCCTCATGCTTGTTTAGGAAGCATTTTATTAACTGAACTATTTCTCCAGCATTCCTGCAATTTTTTTTAAAGGAAAAGTGACCTGGAGTACAGGACATACGGTCTAATATTGAGTCTCTACATAGAATCTCCAATATGTAATTTCTTGGGTCAGAAAAAGGTTATGATTGTATTGGGGGTGGGAACCAAGCTGTGCAGGGTTTTATTGTTGTTGTTGTTGTTGCTGCTGCTGCTGCTGTCATTTGAGACAGGGTCATACCATGAGCTCTGGCTATCTGGGAACTCACACTGTAGACCAGGCTGGCCGACAACTCACAGAGATCCTCCTGCCTCTGCTTCCCAAATGCTGGGATTGAAAGTGTGTGCCACTATCCCCAGCGATAATAACAGTTGAGCAATTTAGCAACAGGCATGCCTAAGATTTTCTGCAGAAGAAAGGAGATATGTTAATACATACTCCAAACTAACCTTTTTCCGCTGTAGCTTTTGCTTTTCCCTGAATTCTTCCATCCTCCTGGCCTCTTCTCTTAGAGTCTGCGCAAGCTGGATGTGACACTGGGCCACATTGTCTACCTCTGTAAAGAAAATTGCAAATAAAACAAGGTCAAGACCCACATGTGTCTAAATCCACATACACACAATGATTCAAAACTATACATACAAATCTGGAGCAAGAAAGAAAATTAAGAATAATTCTCTTGGTCACCAACAGTCATTGAGGTCTTTGTTATGCCCAATCAAGACCAAAGTTGTCTTTTTTTTTTTTGAGACAGGGTTTCTCTGTGTAGTCCTGGCTATCCTGGGCTCTATATACCAGGCTCTCTTTAAATTTAGAGATCTGTCTACCTCTGCCACCACCACCCAGTTCCAAGATAAATCTTTAGCTTAGTCTCTAGCCACTGTTACTATAACCAATTGTATGCCCAGGACTGGCAGAGTTGGGGGAGGGGGGGCAAGGAGAGTGCAGCCAAGGTTACCAGTCAATAACCTTATGATGTAGGTGGGCCTTTTGTCTATGTGTTATTTTCATTGGTTAATAAAGAGACTGCCTTGGCCCTTTGATAGGACAGAAAATTAGGTAGGTGGAGTAAACAGAACAGAATTCTGGGAAGAGGGCAATGAGGCAGACACCATGGAGCCAGCCACCAGGTCAGACATACTGAATCTTTCCCGGTAAGCCACCACCTTGTGGTGCTACACAGATTATTAGAAATGGGTTAATCAAGATGTGAGAGTTAGCCAGTAACTCTCTAGAGATAATGGGCCAGGCAGTGTTTAAATGAATACAATTTGTGTGTTGTTATTTCTGGGGCTAAGCTAGCCATGCGGGAGCCGGGTGGGACGAAAAGCAGGCCTGCCCGCAGCTCCTCACTACAACCTTACGTCCTGAGATGGATGCCAGTTTTAATTGTCAACTTGGCACAACCTAGAATCCCCTGGAAAGGAAGTTTCAATGAGGGTTGACTTGTGGGTGTGTCTGCAGGTGGTTGTCCTAAGTTAACTGATGCAGGAAGATCCAACCTACCCGTGGGCAGCACCATTCCCCAGTCAGGAGATCCTGAGCTTAAAAGTGGAGAAATCAGCTGAGCACAAGCAAGCAAAACACCAATGCACATAAAAAATAAAAAAGAATCATCAAGTTTGATTCTATGCCTCTTTTCATGGTCTCTGGGTGCTTTCTCTGGTCTTTCATGAGCCTAAACATGTATCAAACATTTGTGCAACCTTTTAGCCTCTGAAGGTTATTTTTCTTTATAAGAGAAAGAAGGAAAGAAAAAGCATTTTGCTCAAATTAGGCTGGGTGTGGTTTGTGTACACTTTCAATCCCAGCACTTGTGAGGCAGAGGCATCAATTGAAGAGAAAAGAAGGCACTGTCTATGGAGAAGGTGAAAGGAGTGTTTACTTATGCGGCTTTTACACCTATAGTGTACAGCATATACAGTTTGGTTTCACCCCACTGCTTATGTGACCCCTGTCCAAGGAATATTGTGAAACCAGTCCACCTCTGCCTTTAGTGGGCCATAAAGAAATTCTTCATCTTGTCTGGCAGTAGGTCAAAGGACCCAGTTCCCTCCAGAGGGGCCCCACCCCATGCCCTGCAGGTAGATCTAATCCTCCAGAGACCTGGAAGACTCTGAAGAGCCCTGCTGGCTTTCCCACTCAGTCTGTTAATGAGCCTATCCAATGAAGGCTCCATAAAAATCAAAACAGACATGGCTTTGGGAGCTTCTTAATAGCCAAGCATGTGGAGATTATTGGGTGTTGCTCATACCAACAGAATGGCATGGCTGAAGCCTGCTGAGTCCATTCCTAGAGAGTGTGCTCAGAGACGACTTAAAAGCTCCTCGTGCACCTCTTTCGCCCCCTCGCCTTAACCCATTGCCTTCGAAAAACCCTTTATTAGAAACCGGAAGGGTAATTCTTTCCCTGAATTCTGGGAGCTACTGGGGTAAATGAATTGAACCAGATGGGGGTTGTGGGAACCTGACCCTCAATCTGTTGGTGGGCACAGGTCTAACAGGTCTGGGAGCCTTGGGGCAGGAATCTAAGGTGGGAACTGAGCCTTCAGGCTGCAGGATCTGATCACCTCCAGGATGATCATGTGACAGTTGAACTGGACTAGAGGACACTGGCTAGTCTCTGCTGCAGAAGAGATTGCTTGGTTGCTATGGGGGGGGGGGAATCCTCTCAAGTGATGAATGGGTCAGAAATCTCCTGTGTTATGACACAGTCACACTCTTGTATGACAGAAGAGGAAACAGATAGCAGAGGTTCTGATGAGAGAGCGCTCAGTCAACTACCAAACACTTTAAGTATAAATCATCCACACTGTGCCTTTTGACGCCTTTCACCTGGAAATCCTCTGTGAGGAAAGATAGAAACAGAAGCAGAAAGCCTGGGGAACACTGAGCTAGGCAGGACTCCCTGAAGAGCAATGTGACAGATCTCAACCCAGACCTCCCAGATCCTGGTTGTGAACACATTACTGTAACTAACTAATAAAAATCTGATGGTGTAATTCCCAGTCAGATTCACAACCAAATAAGGACAACACCAATGGACACGCTGAAGTGGGAGAGAAAAGTCCATGAGGCCCGACACACTCTGGACTGGAGAAAGACTGCTGATATCCATTGAGAGAGCAGATCTAGGGGAGTGGTGGGTGGGACCACGTGCCAAATGACAATAGGAGGAAAGGATGGCCAGGCAGTAAGTTCTTTGAAGACTGTCATAATCAAAAATGTCTTGTAGCGCTGAGGCCATTGGCTATAACCACTGACCGAGCAAGTCTGACAACTTAAGTTAGATTCCTAGAACCATGAAAGAGGTCGTATGTGTGCCACACATCTGAGATCTAGAACTCCCAGTGAGATGTGAGGCACTGAGTGGAGAAATTCCCAGAAGCTTGTTAGTCGGCTAGCCTGGAGTACACTGTTAGTAAAAACAGAGAGCCTGCTTCGACAAGGCTAAAAGCTCCCAAAGGTGTGCTCTGACCTCTACACTCATCCACTCCCACACACATGAATGCACACACTAAAAAATACAGATTTCTTCCGCATAAAAAATGGCAAAAACATCTGGGAATCTGGGAGACATGGCAAGACAGCATTGCCCTAGTGACTGAGGTTCTGTGGAAGTGTCCCTGGGAAGAGAAAAGTCACACACGAACATATAAGACGTTGGGTGAGATTGTCAGAATCAGGTGAGGTACAGACAAGCACTCATGGAATGATATCTCTGAGTTAAAAACAAAGCAGGACAGAATGTTCCTGCATCGTGTTCCTCCCATTTGGAACTTAAGAACACACAGAATCTCAGGCCCTACTCCAAACTCCCTGAGTCAGAAACTCAGAAGGGCCCAGGAGTCTGTGCTAACCACAACTACCCAAGTGGCAGGTAGATGTGAGGTGTCTAGCTCAGTTCTGCACTGCGGAGCTACTTCTCACCTCACAGTTGTGCTAAATCTTTCCACCCAATGCTAAACTACTGCTGAAAACAGAACATGCCTCAGAAGAAAACAGTTTTGCACTAGGGGTTGGGTGATGGCTGAGCAATAAGAGTACTGGCTACTCTTCCAGAGAGCCCATGTTAGATTCCCAGCATCCACATGGTATTGACAACCACTGTAACTCCAGTTCAAGAGGATCTGATGTCCTCTTCTGGCTTCTGTGGGCACCAGGCACACACAGGGTACACAGACATTTATGCAGGCAAAACACCCAGACACATAAAACACGTTTTTAAATAATTAACTTACGCTGCTTGAAGACCTCAAGGGCTCTCTTCAACGTACTGGAAAACAAGTACATATACAATTTCAAAACTGGAAGTCATGTATGTAAGTTTATTATATTGTTTTCACATGTTTCTCTTTGCCTACATCTTTATACAGGGGCTCCAGGTTCATTCTTGTCCTTGAGCTTCATAAAATAGTAAAAGATCGAAACTTCTTAAGGCCAACCTCCTCAGTCCCAGGCATGAACAGTTCTGCACTGTCTGCCCTGGGTAAAGCAATATGCAAAACCTCTACATTTTCTCTTCCCCATTGTAATATAGGAATCTGATCCCTTTCTCATAAGAACAAGTTGTCGTTTGAATATGAAAGCAAGGCAATGAAAGAGAGAGCTCAAATCCTAGTTCACACCTTGGGTGAGTGTCTGTGGAGTGTGTGTGTGTGAGTCGAGACAACATCTCACATAGCCAGGCTTGCTATGCAGCTGAAGCCAGCTTTAAACTCCTAAGGCTCCGGCCTCCACTGCGCACGTGCAAGGATTGCAGGCTCGCATCACCATGCTCGGACCCTGGCTCTTAGCTGACTTCTTTTTCAGAAAACCATCATAAATTTTTTATTCTGAGATTGAATCTCACTCTGTAACCCTGGCTGTCCTGGAACTCACCACATAGACCAGACTGACCTCCAACTCACAGAGCTCCACCTGCCTCTGCTTCCCAAGGGCTGGGATTAAAGGTATGTGCCACTACACCCAGCATAGACTTACTGATCAGAAACTAAAGGGTAAGCTTACTCCTCTTTTAAAATTTTATCTTTTAATTGAAAAATAAATGTGTGCATATTTGCCATGTGCAACATAATATTTTGAAATCTGTATACACTGTGGAAAGGCTCAATAAAGGAATTAACATACCATTGCCTCGCATCCTCCCCACCATTCTGGAGTAGTGTGCTTACCATCTCCCTTCGGTTCTTCTTAAGAAGGATGCGTTGCTGCCAGCTACAGCCACACATATATCTCTTGAACTTCTTTCTCCTAACTAAACCCTTAACACCTTTTTATTCCATTTTCATGTGTGTGGACGCACATGTCTCCACATGTGTGGGCATGTATGTGAGTGCACGTGTATGGGCATGTAAAGGCCTAAGGTTGAAGTTGATGCTGGGAATCATTCTCTACTGCTCTTCTGCTTCATTCTCAGAGGCGGGGTCTCTCAATCAAACCGAGAGCTCACCACTAGGGCTAGTCTCACTATCCAGTTAACTCTGGGGCTCTCCTGTCTCCACCTTCTAAGGCTGGAATGACAGGCAGCATTTACACAGGTTCTGGGGAGCTGAACTATGGTCTTCACACTTGTACAGCAAGGGCTCCAACCACAGAACCATCCCCCCAGCTCTGAAATCTCCCTAACCTTGGCCCCAGCCCCAGAGGGTTTCATTCATATCTGATTCTTTTTCAAAATTTCTAGAACATTTCTAAAAATCTTCTCACTTAAGCCTTTAATTCACTGCTTTATAAACATATCCCACATGCTTGAGGTTTTTAGATCTGCTCATTACAGCACTAAATATATATATATATATATATATATATGCATATATGTAATTCTGCTCTCTATTGTATTGTTGAATCATATTCACAGTAACTTGTGTGTGTGTGTGTGTGTGTGTTCCTGTGTATGTGACTGTGTGTGTGCGCATTATGAACTAAATGGTGAATTTCACTGTGTTACTTCTGCAGGGGTCTGTGTTCATGTCTGTCAGGAAAGCAGGTGGCCTTGTCCAGGGCCACTTTAACCTAAATCTGTAGCTTAGCATTCTTCAGACTGCACTGAAAAAGTTGTGGTAACTTGGAACCACAGATCCTGTGTTCCATTCAGGTCCATGGAAAAGACACAGAGTTTTCACAATTGGAAACAAGGAAGAAAAATTATAACTTCTCTCAGTCTTACACACTGCAACTGTCACTCGGCTGCACCTGCTGAGACAACGGGGCTCTGGGCAATGGTAGCCTAGAGTCAGAAGGACACTGGTACCTACTTGATCTCGGACTGTCCACATGGCTTCTTCCTGGAGAGATTCAACAGGTCTTTGCCATATTTCTCTTCAATTGCTGCCCTAGAGGGAACAGAAGAGAAGGACATGGGTCCTACAGAGTTCTTAACTAAGATATATGAGACACTGCCCCTGCAGGAAAGCTGTTCGTTTGCAATAGAAGTTCAGAGGGAATGTCACTGCCTAAGATAAAAGGCTCAGTTAATTATAAATAAATAAATAAATAAATAAATAAATAAATAAATGAATGAATGAATGAATGAATGAATGAAACTCAAAGCCAGGCATGGTGGAACACCTATAATCCCAGAACCCAGAACCGGGAGGTAAAGACAGGAAGCCCAGGAATCACCATCTACCTTAGCTACACAGGGAGTTTGAGGCCAGTCTAGGATATATGAGATCTTCAACATAAAACTAAAGGAGGGAGTTAGAGAGATGGCTCATGGTTAAGAGCACTTGTTGCTCTTCCAGAGGACCTGGGTTTAATTTATAACATACATATCAGGCAGTTCACAACCACCTCCAACTCCAGAGGATTGGACATTCACTTCTGGCCTCCTTGGCGCATACACACACACACACACACACACACACACACACACACACACCTCGATCACCAGCAGAAGCATGGTGCACATCATTTAATCCCTGCACTCAGGCAACAAAGGCGGGCAGATCTCTACTAATTCAAAGCTAGCATGATCTACACAGCCGGTTCAAGAACAGCCAAGGTTACACAGAGAGACTCTACCTCCAAATAATAAATAAGTAAATAAATGATAGTGGTGTCTGCTGTTGCTGGTCTCTACACACACAGGTACATACAAGCATACACTCCACAAACACATACACATTAAAAGAACCTCTATCAAACAAAGAAAAAATTAAAACTAGATAAAACAGAACGTATGATGCATAAAACAATTCCTGATCACCCTAGAAATCAAATACTAATTAAAATGAATTTTTTACTAATACTAATACTAAATTGATGTAGGTGGGTCTTCTTTCTATGTGTTGCTTTCATTGGTTAATTAATAAAGAACCTGCTTGACCTGATAGGTCAGAGCATAGGTGAGTGGAGTAGACAGAACAGAATGCTGGGAGAAAGAAAGCAGAATCAGGCAGACACCATGATTCCCCTTCCCAAGACGGATGCTAGCTAGACTCATGCCTGTAAGTCACGACCTCGTGGTGGCATACAGATTACTGGATATGGGTTAGTCAAGATGTGAGAGTTAGCCAATAAGAGGCTAGAACTAATGGGCCAGGCAGTGTTTAAATGAATACAGTTTCCATGTAATTATTTCGGGGGTAAGCTAGCAGGGATCCGGGCGGGAACACAGCCCGCTGCTCCATTTACAACACTAAATATTAATAAAATGAAATATTTCTAAATAGATTTATTTTATGTTGCTACAGCATGTGTACAAGCATATTCAGCGAGACCCTGAATGGGGGGATGGATAGTACACACTGGCACACACCCAGAATTACATTACTGGGGTGCATGGAGTTTGCTGGCCAACCAGCCTACCGAAACTGTTAAGTTCCAGATTCAGAAAGAGACCCTGTCCCAAAAAATAAGGTAAAGGGTCAGTGAAGTGGCTCAGTGGGTGAAAGTGCTTGCTACCAACCCTGATAAAATGAGTTCAACCCCCAGAACCCACGTGGTTGAAGGAATTAACTGATTCTCCTTCTGACCTCCAAACACACACACACACACACACACACACAAATACACACACATAAACACAACACAAATAAATAAAGAAAAATGGTGAAAAACAATTGAGGAAGACATGGACAGCAATCTCTGCCCTACACAACATACATGCACACACATGGATATGCGGTCATACACATGTGCATGAACATGTATAGACAAATACCCATAAATATGCATAAATTAGTTGTATCATTTGATGGTGATTGAAATTAATTTTTTTTAATTTTTTGTTTGTTTGTGAGTATATATGTCTGTAGTGTGCACATGTAAGCATGTGCCTGTGTGCACACATGTAAAGACCAGATGATAGCACAGAGTGTTCTCTCTCGTACTCCACTTTCTTCCCTTGAGACAGGGTCTCTAGCTAAGTCCCAATCTCAACAATATTGCTGATGTATTATTTTATTTTATTTGCATGCGTATGTGCATGTGTGCAAATGTGCAAATATATGTGTGTTCAGGTACCCAAAAAGGCCAGAAGAAGCCACTGAACCCCTGAAGACGGATTTATAAGTAGCTGTGAGTCACATGACATGGGTGCTGGGAACTAAACCTGGGTCCTCTGGAAGAAAAGCAAGCACTTTTAACCTCTGAGCCATCTCTCCAGCCCCCCGTTTAAATTCTCTTGCTGTTGTTGATTTACAGTTTTATTTCCTTGTGGTCAAAATACAAGGAGCGACATTCAGAGAGTCCGGTTTGATCACATGCTCGTTCAGTCCCGGTCCAGCTGGATTTGGTGAGCTCTCATTAGAACAGGCACACTGTCTCAGTGGGTGGACCAACCCCTCATGGTCCTGACTTCCTTGCTAATCTTCTCTCTCCTTCTGCTCTTCAACTGGACCTTGGGAGCTTAGTTCATTGCTCTGATGAGGGTCTCTGTCTCTATCTCCATCCGTCACCGGACAAAAATTCTCTTTTTTTTAAATATTTATTTATTTATTTATTTATTATGTATACAATATTCTGTCTATGTGTATGCTGCAGGCCAGAAGAGGGCGCCAGACCCCATTACAGATAGTTGTGAGCCACCATGTGGTTGCTGGGAATTGAACTCAGGACCTTTGGAAGAGCAGGCAGTGCTCTTAACCTCTGAGCCATCTCTCCAGCCCCCAGACAAAGATTCTATGGTGATATTTGAGATAATCATCAGTGTGATAGTAGGGCAAGGCCAGTTCAGGCACCCTCTCCTCTGCTGTCCAAGGACCTAGTTGGGGACATCCCCATGGACACCTGGGATCCCCTCTAGAGCCAAGTCTCTTGCCAACCCTAAAATGGCTCCCTTAATGTCGATATCTTCTTCCCTACTCCTATATCTGCCCTTCCTCCATCTGCTAATGGGGGCGAACTAATGGCACTGGGACCTGTTTCTCCTGCATAACCTTTGTCCGGCGATGGGTGGAGATAGAGACAGAGATCTACATTGGAGCACTTGCCTGAGCTCCCAAGGTCCAGTTGAAGAACAGAAAAAAGGGAGAAGATGAGCAAGGAAGTCAGGACAGCGAGGGGTTGGTCCACCCACTGAGACAGTGTGCCTGATCTAAGGGGAGCTCACCAAGGCCAGTTGGACTAGAACTGAACAAGCATGTGATCAAACCAGACTCTCTGAATGTGGCTGACAATGGAGGCTGACTGAGAAGTCAATGATAATGGCACTGGGATTTGATTATACTGCATGTACTGGCTTTTTGGGATCCTAGTCTGTTTGGATGCACACCTTCCTAGGCCTGGATGGAGTGGGAAGGACCTTGGACTTCCCACAGGGCAGGGTACCCTGCCCTCTCTTAGGACTGAAGGGGGAGTGGGAAGGGGTGGAAGGGAAATGGGAGGAGGTGTAAATTTTGAATGGTATTATTTATAAAGCAAAAAAAAAAAGATGTTTAGTTTACTGTCAGTTCACAATGATGATCTTCTTGGATGATGTGCTAATGCAATAAATGGCACACAATTTGTGGGATAAAAAAAATACAAGGAGCGATTTCCATATTTGCCAAGAATCGCCATGTGTCCTATTGTGTGTTCTCTTAGGGGAAGTCCCAAAGACTGTGGAGGAAAATGTGCATTCTGCATGTCTGGATGAAACAGTCTGCAAAGGGTCCAGTTGGTCTATGATATTATTTAACTTGGATACATACTTGGAATGGCCTATCTAGTATGGAAGTGTGGTATTGAAGTTACCCAGTGCTTTTGTGTCTGGGTTAACCTGTGACTTTACACCTAATGGTATTTATTTTGTAAAACTGAGTGCACTCATATTTGGTGCAACCATGTTTAGAATTACAATGTCCTCTTGATGGGCTGTTCCCTTTTAGCAGCATAAGGAAACATTCTTTGACTCTTCTGACTAGTTGGGAGTGAATTCTGTCAGACATTGAAATGGCAACACTCGCTCATTTACAAGGTCCATTTGCTTGGGATTTTTTTTTTTCATCCTTTTACCTAAGGCAGCATCTGTTTTTGATGCTGAAGTGTGTTTCTTAGCTGTAACAAATATATGGAAACTGTTTTTAATCCAACATGCTAGTCTGTGTTTTTTAATAGGGAGCTGAGACTATGATTATACAGAATTGTTATCAAAAGGTTTGTATTAATTCCTGTCACTCTGTTGCTCATGTGGTGCTTGTTTTCCTCGTCTTCATCCGGCTACCCACCGTCTCAGCGGAGCTTATTCTTTCTTGTGGCCGCACAGATCTGCTTGATCATGCTTCAGAAGGACCTCCTTCAGGATCTTCTTCAGAGCTCACTCAGTGGTCACAAATTCCTTAATCTCTTTTCATCACAGAAAGTTTTCATTTCCCTTCAATTAGGCACACCAACGCCCTCCTGCCTTTTTAAGTTTCTGTTGAGAAATCTCTTGTGTGAGCCTGGTTTTATATGTAAGCTGGTGTTTCTCTCGTGAAGATTTCAAAACGCATTCTTTGTTCTGTCTGTCTACTGTTTTAACTATATTTTGACATGAGATTTTTTTTTCCGGTCTTTGGTGGTTTAACTGCCACCTTTACCAAGGTGGGTACCTCTTTCCCTAGATTTGGGGAATTGGCAATGTTTTCTATGCTTTTAGTATGAACTTCTATAGTGATATATTATTTATTTAGTTTTGGGGGGTGTTTTTGGTTTTTTGTTTTTTGAGACAGGGTTTCTCTATAGCTTTGGAGCCTATCCTGGAACTAGCTCTTGTTGATCAGGCTGGCCTCAAACTTACAGAGATCCGCCTGCCTCTGCCTCCTGAGTGCTTAGATTAAAGACATGTGCCACCACTGACCGCCTATTATTTGCATTTTAATAAATAAATATTGACCGAAGACCAGAGGCAAAGCTAAAGACACTAGAGGTC